CTTTTGCTCATTTTGTACTTCCTTGAACCGGTGGACTATTGCACACAGGACAGTGACACAAATTTGTATTCACAGGTCAATTCGCTCATCAAACTCGACTTCATTTATGCATTCATGTTAGGCTTCTGAATTCAAGTTTCCTATTGAATTATCCGGTTCTTCTTGCTTGGCAGTTCAGCCCCCGAATATTCAATCCACATGTTCCATTCGGACGAAGGACCGGCGAGACCAAAGTGTATTTTCAGAAGCATAGCGAATTTCGACCATAAAATCGTGCATATTCAAGAGTTCTAAGGTCTCTATTCTATCATTTCTCTACAGGCCAACTCATTTAGTCTCTAGGACGTGGGATTAATCACCTCTAGTATATTTATATTAAACTATATTTCTCTGACTGTATATTCTGAGTATTTTTGAGAGAATAGCAAATTAGACAAACGCCGAGAGATGATAAAGAAAAAAAATGTCTATCATACTCACAATGACCGAGTGGATCAAGTGATGGTTTTCTGGACGACAAAAACTTTCGTAGATATGAAGACCAAGTTGATGTGGCTGACGATGCTGACTACGATGCCGGGGAAACGTTTGAAAATGTTGCAAATCAATGGTCCGATGCTGGAAATCGCGAACACTATGTCAGAGTACACAGGACTAGGTACGTCCCACACAGTCTTCCTGACGCTCGGAACAAGTTGCGAAAATGGGGTCGAGTCAAGACGACAAAAAATTTCACCTAAAACTTTTTCTCTATTTATAAAAGGGTTCTGGGGTCCTCCAGGTTAATCATCACCAGCATATTTGTATTGATATATATAATATGAATGTTTTTGAGGGCATTTTGACCATTTTCGCGGATCAACGTTAGACAGCTGACGGATTTATCTACCAAATGAATTGGGAAAGTGATAAGGTCCCACAAGTCTGGGAAAGTCCACTCGTTTGGTGGCAGAAGCCTAAAATGCATAGACATACAACGCACCATGCCGGCCACTTAATTCGAGTAAACTGGAGCGCAAAACCTCACGTGTTGCTTGGCGTAACGACAACATTGACAACATTGATGACTGAACGAGGATATGGAGTCTGGACGAGAGCCGTAATTTTTTGTCACCTCAACAGCATCTTCACTCACACCACCGCTCCCCCAATTGACCAACGCTAAGACCGATGGGGCTGGTGATAACTGTGATAAGTGGTATAAATGATAGATAGACAGTTGCCAGGGCGATGCCGAGATTGTTCGTTTGTACGACTAAAAGTCACTGGTCAGCAACTCGGTCCGTCCCTCTTCACGGCTCCATTCGCCCCCTGGACTGCCACTGTCTGTTTTTTGTTCGATTGTCTTAGTGTTTTTATTGTGGTGAGACGAGAAAATCGGGGGACCTAGTTCGAGTCCCGTCTCTGAGGCCGAGCAAACTGGCACCTGGCCGGCGGTAGGTGCACGCGACTGGGTGTCGGGCTCGTGTCTCAAACAGTGACGTCATTACTGCAGGCCTGGGCACTTTGGGTCTCGGAGGGAGGAGTGGAGGGTGTGTAGGCTGGGGGTGGATGGAAAAAGTTCATCCTTTTGTCGTCTGTGAATGACCGAATCAGGAGAGGGGTAGCCGTGGTGCTTGTGGGCAACCAGACAGTCGTCGCATGGAACACGATGAAAGGGAGGAAGATGAAAGGCGAGGAGTATGACTACTGTCAAGGTTCCACTCGTGAATGGTAGTCACATCACGACGGGAGGTTGCCAGGGCGGTCGTGTCAATGACGACAGACGTGAATCGAATCTGAAGCTTCAAATTGAAAACCGTTTTTACGGGTCTCTTCTCAACCGAAATGAATTATCCAAAACCGAAACAATTCATTACTTCAATTCTTCTTCTAATCGACGCGTCCGACTCACAACGTCCGGTCGGCGTTGTGCCAGTCTTTGAGCCCGTGACAACCGCACAACTCGAGGGGAGGATCGGTCGGGTGTCCAAATGTCGAGGAAATAGGAATGAGCTCAAGGCAGATGAGCCAATTTTGAGAGTCCGAGAATCATCATTCTCTTCTTCAGCTTCGGAATCAATCTACTTGCATGGCGCCAAGTAGATTACATTAATTCCTCTTAAACTCTGCTTATATTCGTCCATCTGGGAAGCCAGAAATGGCGTATACGCAGCGCTCGGA